CTTCCAGTGCCCACGGAGGCAGTTGAAGTATCGTGATTTTCATTTGTCTATTCAGAATGTCCTGGGCGCTAACAATACAAATTTTAGAACGCAGCTTGATAAGATTTCTTTGTTTCTACACGGCCACAAAACTTTAACAACTGGACAGAATGATAAAATATTCGATATTGTCTCGACGTTTTTAATTGATAATGCTTAATTGCTTTTATAAGTTCACCCTCCCGACCCTCCTTCTCTTGATCAACTAATATATCACTTCCCGCATATATCGCCCGTGCCTTTCCCTGTAGTGCCCTTCCCTGTTGCTCTCCTTTACAACAATAAGTACTATTTAGTGTTATCATAACTATAATCATTACCTATATATAATCATATTTAAGTCATTTTGTTACTAGAATTACATTAACGCAAGCGAGCCCATAATGCTGTGGCGACGTGCCGCCTGCTCTGAATGTATTTTTTTTTTTTTTTTTTTTGTATTTTTTTTCGACCATTGAAGTTACTGTTTAAACTAGTCGATACATGGAACGTCATGGAACATCATGGAAGTCATGATAAATGTCAAAAGTTAAAATCATCCATTTTTATTTTTACCAAATCTTTTTTTCTAAGGATATAATTACATGTACAATAAGAAAAAAATTCTCAGTGGTATCATGCGCCATTTGTGGTGCGTTTTCTTGATCCATAGCATTTCTTAAAGGTCTACCTTGTCATCGCCATGCTCATCATACTTCCCTGTTCAAACCTCACAGCAATAAAGGCAAAATGTATAGTAGATTAAACAGATTACACGTGTACCTTAAAATCTTGAACATGGGCAGTAGAAGAATCTGATATGTAATATAGCCTAATAACCTAATTTTTTTGCGGATTCTTATAGACATTTGATACATTGATTAATAAAACGTAGACAACTGGTTGTGCTTATGTTCATGTTTCACGTCTTATGACTTAAATAAAAAGACAATTTAACCAGACAACATTATTTTCTGTGCAGCTGCTTGTCTGAATGGTAGCCAAAAGCCACAGATCTGTTTAGTAGAGGTAATACAGTCTTTTTCACATCAAAAGTACTTTTAGCTTGTTACTATAATCTTTGTGGGAAAGAAAATCTTTCTGAGATAAATTGTTCCAAGAATAGACGGTCACATAAGTATGGATATACAAAGATGAAATGTAACATATGCATTGATATGTGGTTTTGGTCTTGGTTTTTCCACCGATTTCATTTGAATGTGCACTCTTTCTGCACCTATTAACCCAAAATTGATTCAGGAACAGGCTTTAGAATGCGATATCTCTGTAACCGATATTCTTTTTCAAATGGTCCAGGTAATATCACTGGGCATAAGATAGACAATGGCTTTCAACACTTTGTTAACCCAAATTGATTCTGGAAAGGGCTTAAGTATACAACCTCGCTACAGGCGCTAGCTTTCTTCTTGATTTTCATGTAATAATACTAATATCTTCGCCGCTGGACTTCGACGCTGGAGTAAACAGTGGCACTGCACGAAAGAGACGGTTATCAGCATAACTGACTAGTCCAGTAAGCACAGGCTGAGATAAAAGAAAAAAACGTGTGAATCTTAGGTTGAAATTAGTTTATTTTGAATAACAGCTAATGACTTCCTTTCGAATAGATACCGTAAAGTGTTCATGGAGAACCCTTTTCTTGTGCATTCATTTCTGTTTGTTGTCTTTGCTTTTTTCAAATTTCAATACTTTTTTGTTTAATCTTAAGCCTATTACTTCTAGCAATTCCTTTTTTATCGAAGCACTTATGACAACAATAAATCTCGGGAATTAAGCATGGCTTTAAAAGCAAAATTATCCGACCGTTTGTCTGAAAAGCACCTTCCCCACCTTTTTTTAGATCTAGCCATTAGAACGACACTAGTAGTATTCACAACGTCTTGACTATTGACATATATGTGCTTAATGTAAGGCTGTAAGCAAACTGTTTTAATTGGTTATGTCTGAAGTAATAAGCACACAATTCGTAGACATGTCGTTGGATGGCATAATTTTCGCTAAGTGCAGGAAGGCATGCTATCGTACCAGAAGGCCAAATGGCGATGTCAAGTGTTTTGCAGTAATCACGGTACAAGGCTACATCTGCTGTTGATCAATGATTCTACAGCTTTAGGTGGACGGTTACACAACAGACATCATGAGAACAGGAAAGTGCCTCAAGGGCTTTGACACAACGAGAGATTTTTGCCGTCCGTGATCTAGATTTAAGTATGACAGGACACGTTGTAAATGCATTTATACTCATATATTGCACCCCCCCCCCCCAACACACACACACACACACACACAGAGAGAGAGAGAGAGAGAGAGAGAGAGAGATGTTAATTTTGTGTTGTATCTGAAACGTGCGTGAATGCACTGACACGCTAAACTTACAGTGCAAATAATACAGGCATATAATACCCCATTTTTGCTTTTTTTAGTTCAAAATCTTTAAGGGAGTCAGGGCACCCGTCTAAAGATTCAATACAAACCCAAACATTCATCATACCACGTGTCAGAGTTGCTATTAGAACCTTATAAAGCCATTAACCGCTGTCTGGCACTTATAGATTATCAGAGAATGCTGTTCTTATTGCTGATTATAGGATATTTGTTTTTGTCGTGTCGAGCGTCAGCACTCGTTGTCATCAGCTTCCTCACCGCAAACCTATCAGGATAAGGACTACCTTGGAAGAAGCTCACTGATAAGTTTACCGGAGTTAGTGGTGTAGGCCATCCTAGCGCTGTTTTCAAGATTACTGCTAAGCGCACAAAATCACTTTTGTATTTCTAGGATTTAACAGGTTGGTGGTTCGTGCAAAGCAGCGATCAAAACGTTTTAGGGAAAGATACTCGCGTACCCATGCACACCCCCCCCCCCTACAAACACACACACACGCACGTATGCAAGCGCATTGCTTATCGAACTGATTCTGGTGGCAAAAATGCCTGCTACAAAAAAAGCAAGTTCTATCGTAAATCTTGAATTTTGTTCACGAACCGCAAACCGACATTTAGAAGATGTTCACAAAGTTTGGCTTAAAAAAGTAAAATCTATATACAATTCTAATTTTAATTAATTTCTAATAGCTGTATGTTAGATGATTAGTTTGGGTATGGGGCCCATCATTTTTAGACTGTGGATGAAATCGGAAAAGGTTCAACATACTGTAAATGTCATTTGCTAGTTCTGGTCAGAACATCTGTTGACTTAACAGAATCAAGCAAAGTGCGCATGTGCATGCACCATCGTATGGCAAGGGACAATTGGATTTCAATATTGCCGTGAGTGGCTGTCTAATGGGCTATAATCACCGGAATGAAGGCACGAAGAGGCATTGATGGCGCTGTACAGCGAAAAGGTAGCACGTGTTAATGGAGAATACAAGATATAGGTGTCATCATATTTTAAGAGAAGACTAGCTTCATGTAGGATACAGAATATATGAGATCCTATTTGGTAAGTGTGTTGTCTTTTGTCTATCATACTTGTGGTCTCATAGATTGTGATGATAGTGGAAAATTACAATTTTTTCCAAACATTTCAGGATACATGATTTTATTTATTTATTTATTTATTTATTTATTTATTGTTATAGAAAATGAGATAATAAAAAATCAATCAGTCGTGCATCTTTTGAAACATGAAATGGATGAGGTGTCTTATTGGATCATTTGTACGATGGCTTCAAGCGTCATGTAATTTTGATAAATTTTGCGATTAGATTCATGAAGTGAAGGACAATTATTAACACGCGTGCAATTCCAAGAAACTGCAACAAAGAAAGGGCTAAAAAGGAAAAGTTTATTTAAACATGTTCTGCAAAGTACTAACTATATTGGGGCACTATGCATACAATCTGATATCTATATTGTTGATTACAGTGTCTAGAATATACGCCACGTGGTCAAAGCAAAGGTTGTCTTTGCAATAAAAAACTAAGATCAAAGGACAGATATGTGTGGGCCGCCGCAGAGACGTCTTGGCGCTTTCATCTTTATAGTATTGCT